AAAAGGCGAAATGAGGGCACTGGGGTTGTCAGTTGGCGGGTGGGGTGGCTTTGGCGGGAAGTCAATGTTACCAACTATAAAAAAAAATAATAATAATATAAAAAAAAAAATGCATTTAACCGGAAGTTAAAGAATAGACAGTCATTTTCAGTCTAATATATATATTTAGACGGTAAATGACACAATCTCCTGAACATAGTGCTGAATGTGGCAACACTTAGGCGTTACTACATAGTGTTTATAATTACAAAAAATAATAAGTAAGTATACTAATCTCGAGGACGAGGCACGAGTATAATAATATAATTTAGTAATATAAATAATAATATGATTTATAATTATAAAAAATAATAAATATACATCCAGGTACCAAAGAGTCTGTATAAGAATGCCACTATGGTCTGATTAGAACTCTAATCCTATCCAATTTGCAGCGAGGCGGATTGCAGAGACGTTATGTATGAGTGTCTCAGTACTGCGAGTGCGGCGCATTGTAACGTGACGTCACACGTCTATAGCGTACTAAGGCGAATTTTTTGAAAGAGGAGGAATTAAAACGACCGTAACTTCAAAACTATTCGCTCGATTTTTATGAAACAAAAACAGGTGTATTTCTAAATGTAAAAATTTCAAGTGATTTGACGATACCAATGATATTCCTCATTGGGAATTTGTAGTAAGTACCTATATTTCAATGTGCAGCTGTACTGTTATATTATCAGGTTATTCTGCAATTAATGATGCTTGAGAGCTGGCGGGGTGAGGACGTGCGTTGCGCTGGCGTTAGAAGTTTGCGAGATACGATATGTTACGAAGCAGTTTTTGTTGATAATAAACTTTTTTATCTGCATTTTATGGGCTTATGGTACAGTATGAATAAGAATTTAGACTCCCAGCAGATAGAATGGCTGCTAAATGAGAAAACGAGAATATTTTTCCCGAGATATTATCAGATTTTAACAATGCAGAGCCGGAGTCAGTGATTACGACACGAAAAGATGATGCAGCTGATAGTGTATTGGAAAACGAAAAAATATAGAACAGCAGAATAAAAAAGCAAAGGCATTCTATGGCAAAAATAAATATAAATCACGAGTTCGAGCTCATAACATAATTAAGCACTTACCTGGCCTAAGAGGATCTGCCCGGGTAAAAAATGAGATGACGCCTTTTGAAGCTTGGCAAGTTTATTGCAAATCTGCGACAATTTATTACTACAATTACGTCATGAATCACGGAATTTTAGAACTAAAATCACGTGCTAATTGATAAACTTAAACGCTAGTCGTCGAGAGTTTATCAATGGCGTTGGACGCGTCGCGAACTCTTTATTTGGACTTCTGGACGAACACTATGCAGAAAAGTATCAAAATATATTTCAACTATAAACTATGTATTTGACTTGATTATATAAAAGCATTTGAAAATAAGGCTTATGCCAAATTTGCCGACAGCTGTCGGCAAATTTGGCATAAGCCTTATTTTCGAATTTTAGAACTAAAATCACGTGCTAATTGATAAACTTAAACGCTAGTCGTCGAGAGTTTATCAATGGCGTTGGACGCGTCGCGAACTCTTTATTTGGACTTCTGGACGAACACTATGCAGAAAAGTATCAAAATATATTTCAACTATAAACTATGTATTTGACTTGATTATATAAAAGCATTTGAAAATAAGGCTTATGCCAAATTTGCCGACAGCTGTCGTGTGCCTTAAGTATTAACTGCGGAATGCGTTACACTTTAAACAGCAAAGCTTGGACGGAAAGTTATAAGGTCACCTAACTTTTACCAAATGGTACAACTGATTATATTATGCTTAACCGGTTCTTTAACATGTTTTTTATTCAAATAAGTTGGTGCAGCCATCCCTTAGAATTTTACATTTGAAAACAAATGATCCGTCCGAATTCTAATGTCATCTGTCTATAATTTACAAGGTGGAAAAAAATTCGTTTGGTCCGCTTCCTTCAGCTGTTAGACATACGATCACCATTACAAAATAAAAGGCTATTTTCATAAAAGGCAACTTTAAAAAAGTGTAACAGACAATGAAAAACACGTATTTAAAAGTATTACATGCTGGATTCCAAAAGTCCAGTGCCTTTTTGTTAAAAATACAGCGTCGAGCAGATTATCAAAAGTTCAAACAAACAAATAAAACACTTCAAAAGGTACATGATAGAGGTTTTATTTGATTTTACAAAGTACCAAAGCTGAACATTTAATCACAAAATAAACTTATTTTTGTATTCATTAATACCTACTTATATTTATATTTAACTTAATAAACCAAATAATACTTTTCTTACTAACAATTTAATCTTTGGCGTTAAATACAGGGAGAAAAATTATTATTTTAACGTTATAACTGATTACATATTTCTAGTTAAATAAAAGCTCGTGATTCATCTATATCAATAACAGTGCTATTAATAAACAAGGTTTAGAGTCGGAGTAAATTTACCCTTATCCTTGCAATTTTAGTATAAGTCCAAATTATAATGCTATACAAAGAATAAGCTAACCTACTACCTTCTAGAAGTAATATTACTACCATTCTATAGGTTAACCTTTGCCAAGTCTCTGTTTAATAATATGAATTCTGACTAATACTAAATGCAGTCTCAGCGTAAATTTACTCCAACGCTAAACCTTGTTTATTACACTGTTAAAGTATAATTTAAATTGCACAGATTAAATATGTTTTATATTATATATAATTTTAAGTTCATAATACGAAATTTTCTTAAAAATAAATGTTCAATAACTATTTTAATCCCTGATTAATTCTAATAATCTAATTAAATATTTATAATAGTGGTAACAAAGTACTGGTTCTAATAATTTTTATATTATTTAAACTTTAGCATTAGTTCCCTCTCCCTGAAACTTTTCTACTTATCTCTAAGTTACTCACTATGAAATATATAATATTAAAAAGTACAATCGGTAAATAAATATAACGCAACTATATTATTTAAGAATCGTATTAAATAAGCAGTTAACGTATTCATGGTATTTAAATGTATAAAATAATTTTATATACCAAATTTTTCTCTTTTATTTAAAGAGACAATGACTTTTGCATTGAAACCAAACCAAAGTTGAACCTAAATCGCAACTGCATTTTTGGGTCTTAATCGAGGTCTAAACTAATGGAAGACCGCTGGCTAATTACCCAATTTTAAAGTCTATTACATTCCTTTTGAAAGTTATAGCGATATATTGAATTATGTAAATTTAAAAGTAGTAGTCGCTTTTGATACGAACGATGATTTCATTTATCAAGAAACAATAAAAAAGTTAAAAACGTCGATTTTTTTTGAAAAGTGCATGCAACACTTCCGTTTGATATTTTTCAATAGCTTTCAAAGATATATCGTACATTGCATATCTTAAAAAAGCGTTCGGAATTGAGTATGAATTGAGTATATAAAAAAGAGTATGTGATATACTTAATATGTTAAGTAGTAGCGTGAAGAGCATGAATATCTTTTAAATGCCAAATTGAAAAAGATTACGACGGATTTTAATATTAGAAAACTAGCCCGCGGAAAATGCGCGGAAAATGCCACTTTGCTTCAACTTACGCGCCGCACATTAAGCCAAATTTACATAACGACATTATTATCGTGCAGAAAGAAACAACGAGTTTCACGAAACTAATTTCAGCACAAGTAAAACTAGTTTCGTGATGAAATCAATAGTATATATGTGACACTGACTCCGTCAGCATCGAAACTTTACTATGCGCATATGCGCGACATTAGTTTTGCCATTTTAATCGTGGTGAATTTAGTTGTGTGGCATTAGTTTTATCGAAAATATGCGTATTACACGAAACTAATTTCGTAATGTAAATGCGACTTAAATATATAGCAACTTATTAATGAAAAATGATTTCAATAATCCACTTTGTCCATGGTACACTGCGATGGGATTTCTAAAGCATTATTCATTAAGAATATAATCCGTCCATTGTGAATACAAAATTTATCAAATATCTCTCAAGATAAAATAACTCATGTTTGTTTTTTACTAATAGAGTTTTTTTTTTACGTTTTCAGACTTAGATTAACATTATAGATATTATAAGGATTAACAGCATCAAAAGGCTTAAGTACTTAATTGTTTATAATTAAATAGACCTATCCAAAGAATAAAGTTATATTCGTAATCTTTACTTTTTAATAGAGTTATTTTACATTTTAATTACAATAAAATTTCTGTACAATTGCTAGAGAACCTTCTTTATTTTATTACATTAGCTGAGTAAAACCTTAGAAAATTTAAACTGTCTAATCAAATATAATTTTATTATTCTGATAAGTTTAAATATGTCCCCTAAACAAATACAATTAGGACTGTTCTCATCTGAATATGTCAAAGAAGCGATATTTTCTTTTGCAATACCGAAAGAAATCAATTTATTGATTACCATTATTACTTAATTAGTTTATTTTAATACTTAATTAATTTCCTGGCATTAAGGTAGATCACAATGAGTAAATTGATAATTCTTTATCCACTTAACTCACTAATCACTACTTATTAGGAGTTTCTTTAAAACAAACACTTAATTTGACAAAACTCGTGAGTTTTCATACTGCAACGATAACGACTCGATACTCATATATCGTCAGCTCGAACGGCAACGATATCGTTACGACATAAGTATGCGTTACACGATACAACCAACAGTCTTTCGAGTTAATGATGGCAGCATTATTTATTTATGTAAATAAAGGCATGACAGTCTGTCGGCTGACTACAACGACACCCTGTGAAAGCATTTAGTAGTTATTGTATTAAACTACCAGTTCGACGATGTCGTGCAGTTCTCGTGTAGTTACCGATATTAACTCATGATGCCATTTACTTACAAGTGAGTGCTTATCAACTCACTAGAGATGGGTCGAGTGTTCATGTTACTCGATACATGATATTACGACACTCAGCCAATTTGAAATTAATTTTATTCTTCCGGAAAATAAGGTTGAAATTTTAAATTAGCTTTGAATGGCACTTATAATCTAATTGTATATTTACAAGCAAGCTTTAGAAAAAATAAATCGTTGTACTTTATTTACTCATTACTCAAGTAAAATTTAAAGTAAAATGCGGAAATTGTTTTTATCTTTAAAAACGTATTTTTTCTTAGGTTTTATCTGTAATGAGTAAAAACTCACTAGAATTCGTGCAAGAATAAACTGAGATATATTTTATAACACTAAAGAAAGAAATTTGCAAGAAATTATAAAATGTGTCTGCTGTTTGTTATTTGTGTTTATCCCTCTCACGGAATATATAAATGTCGTCCGGTTGTAATAACTTTTATGTTGCTTTTTAATATACTTTGCATTCGTTGAATTCCAAATATACCCAAGAGCATATCACGTTTTCCCAAACTATATTTTATTTTTCATTTGATTTTTAAACTTAATTTGTTGACTATTAGTTCAAAATCTATTATGAAAATTTTAACCTTTGTGGAAAGCAGGTATTTGCTGTGATTACATCATACTTCTCTTTTCATAATTTTATGTAGCAATTTTATAACCTAAAGCATTAGCAGTCGCTTTAATCCATGGTAAATAAGAAGCTACTCTAGTATATACGCCAGGCCTCGCGCGCCTAGCACAACCTGACCCCCACGATACAACCCCGTGGAGTTGCCATTTGTTCGTAGATTTACAAGCTAAAGGACCCCCCGAGTCACCTCTACAGGCGTCGACACCACCAGACAATATCCCTGTAATAAGAAAAAATATAAGTTAAAATAATCTACTAGTGAGTGAGTCAATAAGTTAATCTGTGTTGAATACTGTGAGTAAGTAATTCAGTGAGTGGTATTTTTTATATTGAAGCTTGAAAATTGTGTTACCTGCACACAACATAGAGTCTAGAATAGCTTGCTGTCTTCCACCCAATACTTGGTTCTTTCTGCACGTGGTTAAGTCCAAGACCGGTACAGAAGCGGCTCTCAAGATTGGTGCAAACGATTCTGTGCTCTCTGCAAAACAAAATATAGACTTATTCGGGTTGCTGTCGCACCATGGTAGGTGGAACTGTTGTTCAACAGCTCCATCATATTTCGACAAATGTCTATTCGTTCTATCATAGGTCGAACTCAGTCGCTTCCCCGATTGACGTTTTAAAGTGGGTGAGTGAAACACACCGCGGAATCTTCGAAGGGATAGGCTACACGCTATGCTTTTCATTCTAGCAAAATGTGGTTTTGAGTCATAGACAAAGGTTAGGGCGAAGGAAAAATGCCATTATATATTGGCAGATACAGCTTGACCCTAATATTTGTTTGTCGCATATGCCTCCCTCAAAGGAACCCATAGGAGCTCGATAGCGCAGGTTAGCTTGTGCGGGCTACGATACGGTTCTTAAGTAACTTTCGCAAGGACCGATCATAGGATGGGTGACAAAAAAATTAATTAACCAAAAACTTAATCCGTTGGTCCCGACTGCATCCGCAGACATTAATAACCATGAATCCGCAATGGGCTCGATTGGTAGTCGGTCGTATCATGGCCCATCCTCCCTATTCGATTTAATTCGATTCATCCACAGGGAAGATCTAAGCCTCAGCAATGGGGATATCAATGGACTAGTAATGATCAGATGTTAGTTATTGGCTCCTTTTTGATTTAGACAACGTTACAACTTGATATGAGACGATGAATTCTAATACTAAGATCTATTTTCATAGTTTAATTTTGTTAGTTATTGGTACCTTTTTGATATAGACACCGTTGCAACTTGATAATAGACGATGAATTTTAAAACTGAAACTAAGATCTATGGGGGAGGTCTTTGCTCAGCAGCTCAACTATGGAACGAACCTACAAATCAAATCAAATCAAATCAAATCAAATTTATTTATTCAGTCTAGGCTGTTACAAGCACTTGTGAAAGTCGAGAGCTACGCCAACGGTTCGTAAATCTACGGAGGGAGACCTTGTACCGAGAAGTATTTGAAATTTTATTTATTTTATTTGAAAATTTGCTACAGTATTTGAAAATTTATTTACTGAAATTCCAGTCTTAATTACACAATCTTTGAATTCCTCTTCCACTGTTGCTGAATCTATTTTAAAGGCAAGTTTAAATAATTCTAATAGCCAATTTAAGTTTCAACACATTGATTTTAAAGATATAATAAAATCTTTTAATCAGCTAAAGAAAACGAAAACTGCTGATTTATGGGGTAATTCCATTGAAGTTTCTAAATCGGTAATTGAGACAATAGCTCCAATCTTAGCTTATATATTTAATGAATGTACTGATTGTGGTATTTTTCCTGAGCTCATGAAATATAGTAAAATTATTCCTTTACATAAATCGGGTAGCACATCTGACCCTACTAACTTTAGACCTATATCCGTGCTACCTACGTTTAGTAAGATTTTTGAAAAAATCATGCTGGATCAAATACAAACGTACTTTTACAAGAATAAGCTTATGAATCGACAACAATTTGGTTTTACAAGGGGTCGCTCGACAACCGAAGCCGGTATCGACTTAATACAAGAAATTTTTAATGCCTGGGAGGATTCACATGATGCGTTAGGTGTTTTCTGTGACCTATCTAAGGCATTTGATTGTGTTTTTCATGAAACATTGATTAGGAAACTGCATTTTTATGGATTTAGAGATAACTCATTGGATTTTATTGTCTCATACTTGACTGACAGAGTACAGAGGGTTGATATCAATGGCAAAAGATCCCCTGGATCGAAAATTAAGATGGGCGTTCCGCAGGGCTCAATACTTGGTCCTTTCTTGTTTTTGATTTACATAAATGACTTGCCTTATTTCGTAAGGGATGATCACGAAATAGTTTTGTTTGCGGATGACACTTCACTCTTGTTTAAAATTAAAAGAGGGTTACCTCTAAATGACGATGTGAACAATTCTATCGCTAAAGTAGTACATTGGTTTAATGTAAATAATCTTCTCCTTAATGAAGGAAAAACAAAATGCTTAAAATTTGTACTACCTAATGTTAAAAAAGTAGATATAAATGTTAATGTAAAAGATAAGAACATGGGCCTTGTGGATACCACAGTATTTTTAGGAATAACATTAGATTCTAAACTACAGTGGGGCCCACATATTGATAGATTGTCGAGTAGACTTAGCTCTGCAGCATATGCCGTAATGAAGATACGTAGGTTAACTGACATAGATACTGCCAGATTAGTATACTTCAGTTACTTTCATAGTGTTATGTCATACGGTATCCTATTGTGGGGAAATGCTGCCGACATACAAACAATTTTTGTGCTTCAGAAAAGAGCAATTCGATCAATTTATAATCTTAGGATTAGGGACTCTTTAAGGGAGAAATTTAAGGAAATAGACATTATGACTGTTGCTTCTCAATACATATACGAGAACTTAATGTACGTTCGTAAAAATATTAGTTTGTTTTCTATTAAAAGTGATGTACACAATTTTAATACAAGAAATAAAAATAAATTAACGGTGCCTGTCACTAGACTGCAAAAAGTTAATAACTCTTTCAAGGGTCTTTGTGTGCGCTTCTACAATAAGGTCCCAAGCAAAATACAACAATTAGATATCATGCAGTTTAAATCTACTATTAAAAAAATACTTATTAAAAAAGCTTATTATAAGGTATCCGATTATGTAACAGATAAGAACGCTTGGACTTGAGATGATCCAGCAACTGGATAGGTGATTACTTCTAAACTCATTATCTTGTTTCCATTATTATTAAATGATTATGTTATTATTATAAGACCATAGTTTTTTTTTATCTCTGTTTATAATGTATTGATCTGGTAATGACATGGTTTTTGTAAATGTCATTACTCATATTAGAGCTGGTGAGTTTCTTGCTCGTTCTTCTTATCAGCCAAAAGACGTCCTGAACGAGTGGTAGGGAAAAAATGTTGGACGATTCAAAAGTACTTTTAAGAAGTCTATTTGAATAAAGATTATTTTGACTTTGACTTTGACTTTGAAGAACCGGCAAGAAACTCGCCAAGGGATTTCATTTATTTCATACAGAGCGTCAAGATTGAAAAATGACTTCATTTAAATTTGAAGTCATTTTCCATTACAATGTTACACAATACGAGGGTTAAACTGAAAGTTCTTAGAACTGGCCACTTATAAACAATATAATAAAAAAATAATTCTAAAATTTGAAAATATAACTCTTTGCCAATATTACTGAGTATATATTTCATTCATTTGTCATTTGTTTTACGATTTGGCGGCAAATTGAAAATTGTCTGTGTCACGTCATCTTGAATTTAACACGAGAAAATTTTCGTGCAATGATTTTTTATGACTTTCGATGTCATTTAAGTCAACAAGAAAGTTATGATAGACTACGATTGGCCTTTCACGATGAAGCCCCATCTCGTGCGACTGTTTACAACTGGTTTAATGAGTTTAAACGTGGTCGCACTAATCTCACTGATGATTTACGTGAGGGACGGCCTTCTACGGCGACGACTGAAGATAACATCTGTGTTGTGCGGCGTATGATAGAGACTGACAAAAGAGTGACCTATCAACAGATTCGGACAAGCTTAGGCATCGGTATGAGTCAAGTGCACAAAATCCTCCACGAACATTTAGCGGTCAGGAAGCTTTGCGCCCGGTGGATACCTCATAATTTGACTGAGGCTCAAAAACTCCATCGTGTGGATTGGTGTCGTAAAATGATTGAAAGATTTAACGGAGGTGACTCAAATGCTGTGTTCGACATACTAACAGGTGACGAAAGCTGGATTTACTGTTATGATCCTAAAACCAAAAGACAAACTGCTCAGTGGGTGTTTCCTTTCGAGGAGTTGCCAACTAAAGTGAAGAGAGATCGAAGTGCGGGAAAAAAAATGGTGGCCTCGTTCTTTGGAAGGATAGGTCATTTTGCAACAATTGTGTTAGAGGATCAAAAAACAGTTTCTGCAGAATGGTACACTACCAATTGTTTGCCACTTGTCTTGGAAAAAGTTCGAGAGAAACGACCTCGCAGTAGGATCCTCCTTCACCACGACAACGCCTCGTCGCACACCGCCAAGCGAACGATCGACTATTTGGCGACATCAAACGTTGAATTACTGGGTCACCCGCCGTATAGCCCCGACCTCGCGCCTTGTGATTTTTATTTATTTCCAAAAATTAAAGAAAAACTTAAAGGAAAGCGGTTTATGAATGCTGAAGAAGCGGTGGCTGCGTATCGCGATGCCATTGAAGAGACCCCTAAGGACGAGTGGGCAAAGTGCTTTTCCCAGTGGTTCCATCGCATGCAGCGGTGTATTGACGTGAATGGACAATATTTTGAAAAGATATAATAAAACTAATAACTGGCTAATGTAATCAGTTTTTGATTTTCTAAGAACTTTCAGTTTGACCCTCGTATAAGATTAAAACAGTATTTTTGTCAATCCAATCACATGTGTAGCCAGAGAAGCTCACCGATATACAATTAAATATATATGAAAAATAAGCCATATTTAACACCAAGCAGTTTTGTCGTTTAAATATTCATTAACAGTATAATATCCTTTACTGAGTAGACAATTTTTAATATGGGTTTTAAACTTAGGTAATGGTAAATTTAAAATTTCCATAGAAATTTTATTATAGTAGTGTACACACCTTGACCCATAAATGATGATAGAACATTCTTTAGCCTGCATGACGGCAAAACAAGTTGATCTTTGTTTCTAGTATTAAAATTGTGTACATGACTATGTTTAATATAATTGTTAATATTGTTTCTAACATAAAGTATACAATTGTATATGAATTGGGAGGCCACTGTTAATATCCCAATTTCTTTGAATTTCTCTCTAAGTGATGTTCTCGAACCCAATTGATAAATGGCCCTTACTGCTCTTTTTTGTAAAATAAATATAGACTCTATATCTGCAGCCATACCTCACATCAGAATGCCATATGACATAACGCTATGGAAATAACTAAAGTATACTGTCCTAGCGGTATCTGCATCTGTAAGTTGCCTAATTTTTTTATTGCAAAGGCAGCATGTTTCATAATTGCGACAAATAAACACACAATGTCATGTTCACGTTACAATTTTCTAGCTCTTGAGGCGCGACCGCCTAACTAATAGACGTAGCCGTAGTCTATAACCTAAGCTTTATCGATATGACTCATGAATCTGTTTATATACTTTTAAAATTAATTGGATTTTTTATTTATATAGGAGTACTTTATTTAACAAGGTTTGTTTTTCATTTCGAAATAGCATTGTTTGTATCAATTCGACAATTAGTCAATTTCGTTTAATTTTTATAATTCAGTAAACAAAAATATTAGATACGTACTTTTTTTACTTCAATTTAACAAGAAATAGCTTAGTTGACAGGTATTAAAGTTGCTACGTCACAGTTTGGTACAAAACGTACCCTAACGTGACGTCATGCGAAATTTCAACTCCATGTCCGCAGAATCGGTCGTTATCGGATCAAAAATGTATAACTTCATGATTTTTTGTAGTACCGCAATGAAATTTGGTACAAATATTCAGTAAGGTTTGGAAATTCAAATGATGTATAATTTGTAGTGTTTTTCTATATAAATATATATGTTATATGTCATAGAAGTAAAAAAAAGGGGAAAACACAAAAATAAAATGGTAAAAAAATAATTTCAAAAGAAAGACAAGTTTTAAAGACTAAAAAGGCTAAAACTATGGTTAAATACAAAATTACCCAATTAATAAAAAATACAAAAAAAAATTTTTTGCTGAACAAATAAACTATACTAGGCCTGTAGCTTCAGAGATTGATATAACTCGTTACAAACATTACTAATAACTAAATATCAATATTATTTTTATTTTGGTAGGTACCAATATTGCTTCAGGATCAGGGTCAGTAAACGTGCGTTCACTTTCAGGTACCACTTTTAAAAGACTTTATTGCCTCTACTTCAAGATTTTTTACATTTCTTAAGTATGGTTTTCTTAAACTTGTTATATATGGATCTGACGTGCACAAAAGCATTTTAAAGACATCTTCATTTGATGCAGACCAGGAACATTTTTTGGCATGATGAAGTCGCATGTTTCTGTAGTCTTGTTGCGAGGCTCTTGTGCGTCTTCCGACAGCTGTCCAATAGGATTATCTTATTATCTAGTAATTTCTCACGCATAACGAGTGCAAATTTGATAAGATTCCTTTGTTATCGCTAAATAAATAAAATATTCCAAAAGTAATATAATTATTGTCCTTGTAACGGTGTCTGTGGTAAACCGCAAAAGATACTGATTTTTATTTTCTGACTTTTCACATATTATTTCTTATATTTTCTAAAACCGTAAACTTCCGCAGCTGTTTTTTTTTGTATTCTGTTACTGAATAGTTAGACCATCAATTAACATAAAAAGTTGCGCGTGGGGAGTCGTGGGTAATATTGAAAACCTTAGACGAAAAAAAAGAAAAGTAAAAAATAAGGTATGCCACTTTTTAATTACTTACTGACATAATTGTCGCTGCTTTAGAAATTAAAAAGCTGTAACGTAATAAGCATGAAATAACCTTTCCAAAAATGTATAATACTGCATATATGTACCCAATATATATTGCACAATATGGTTTTGAAACATGTATATGCGTAGACTCGAGTTCGGCACTCCCGTCTTCTATGTACTTCTACCTATGAAAAAAATATAACTTCGTGCATTTTCGATAAAAAAACTTAATGAATATTATAATTCGATTATTTGAGATCCTAATAAAATCACCAAATCAAACAAATTATGATATTCGTAAAAAGTATTTTTGATATGCTCTTGTTATACCATTTTCCACTGTGCGCCGCAATTTTATGATTACGAAAAAAATAAAAAAATACGTGTTTAATATTTTTTAACACTCTACCTGACGGACAAACAAACAAAAATCAGTCGTCATCCTTATTATATCCATGATATGAATCGATATCTGAATACACAGTTCCTTAGGGACTACGCGGGCGGAAAAAAATAGTATCTTATAATAATTGTACCTGCCTGATACCCCCAGCCGCTGACGGAGCACCACTTGCCAGCGTTGTCGGTGGCGTCGGGCAAGCAGATCGGGCGCACGTGCGAGTTGAACTGGACGCCTTGCCCCGACCTGGATATTACCACCAGCGCTATGTCGTTGCTGTGGGGTCCGTCTGGTGAAAATACAAGAATAAACACCGCTGGTAATATAAGTCGCTTGATGGCTTTAAAACTTTCTATAAATGTTATAGGTAAATGAAAACTTGATAAGAAAAATGGAACTGACTTCAAATTAAAAAAAAGTGTAGAATACTCAAGAAAATTATATCATATTAGGGTGGAGGTTTTCTGTAGGTTATTAATTTAATGATAGGCGCCTGATTTCAATTACATAAGTATTATTTTATACTTTTTTTAAAGTATGAAGTCAGTTCTATTTTTTTAAAGTTTTAATTTCATGCTTTTTAGTGATATTCTCTGAATACCGCGTTAAAATCAGTTCAGCCAAACGCGGGATAATCGCGGACAATACATACAACGCGTGTTGAAGTGCGAACCTACGTTTTTTTGTCAGTTAATTTACCTAAAATCTATTCCTAATTCTGAAAAATACTATGCTGAAAACCGCATCAAAATCAGTTCAGCCAAACGCGAGATAGTCACGCACAAACATACATATATACAAGAAACATACATACAGGTCAAACTGAAAACCTCCTTTTTTTTGAAGTCAGTTAATGATCTGTATTTGGTCATTTTAAAAATTAAGAAGAAGTGAACCTTCGTACATCACCACTGGCAATGGAAGATAGATAAAAAAAATTAAGTGTTTATAATAAACTTTTCCCATTCCCAGTAACTTTATATTTACATTTTTCATTTGTTAGGTGTATGTCTCGCATTTCGTACAAATTTTTACGCACACGTTCGTACTGAGATATCAAACTTTAGAAAGCTCTTGCACATTTTTGTCACGAGCTTTCCGTTTATTAGGTTTTCGCTTATATTCAAGTTTGTCTCCAAGTGTGAATTTCACTTACTCTTCCTGAAATCTGGGTGCGGTACCACCTTCTCCGCGTGGAACCTGGCCTCGTGTTTGTCCTGCGATTTCAGACGATGTTCCCCCACCACCAGCCGCAGGTGGTCCAGCTGCAGAGGTTGCTGGAGAAGAGGAACAGGTATTTTGTTATGACATACCTACCACAAATGCTCAGCTTGCATGCAGAATTTTGAGGTTGGACTTGGAGCTCACTTAGTGCAAATCAATATCGCATTGGCGGAAAACATTCCTTAACAAATGTCCAATGTAGTTAAGATGGTGCTAAAACTTAAGAGGTAAAGGGAATGATAGAGCTTAAAACTCGACCGCGTTGTTGCAGCAATTAAAATCTTTGTTGCCTCTGAAGTAGGTTTTATTTGATTGAACTTCTATGCTCTTACAGCGCTGCGCTCGATATCAAGCTCGAGTTTGTGTTTATAACAGAATAGAACATACTTATTTATGTGTCCGAGCAATGGAGAATTAAAACTATCTATTATATCAATGAATTTTGCATTCATAATGCTATTTTGGTAAACGCTTAAAAATCCCAAGTATCAGGTACCTAGTAGTTCAGAGCTAGAGCAGTTGTCCGGATAGTGAAAGCTCGTGGGTGCGAGTACCATCTCCCATCCTGAAACTGGTTGCTTATAACTATTGAGATTATTACTAGCTTTCTAACGCCCAATTGCACAAACATCAATTAAGGTGCAATAACGACTTTAAACTCTAATGAATGTTCGAAATATGAAATTTTGTTATTAGTAATATCGTTTGTGTGCACAAATGCTAATGGACGTTTGTGCAACGGACAGTGAGTGTAGTTAAACTAACTTTGTCGAAGCAGTGTGCAGCTGATAACACGAGCCTCTCCGCTATCACAGCTCCCCCACAGTGATGCTCGAACGTCAGCTTGTCTACATCCAACATCTGTATTTCCACCTATTAAAAATAATAATATATATTTTTAATACTATATTCTTCATGTTTATTAAATAATATATAAGGTGGTAGGTGGTAATATAATAAGGTGTAGGGTGGTGTGTATAATATTATGTTCCAGCACTTCGTGAAGTGGATGAGTTAATTACATTGAACATCTTATACTATGGGAGCATCACTGAATTCACGAGAAAATAAATCATCTGTTTTATATTGTTGGCGATCGTAAGTATTATTTGTAATTTTCTATGAAACTGCAGAGCGATTCTGTAAAAATCTTCTGCAAAGAACCTGAATTCAAATTCACTCATGTGTCCGACTAGGGATGATGACTAATTTTTGTTTGTTTGTCCGTCAGGTAGAGTGTTAAAAAATATTAAACACGTATTTTTTTATTTTTTTCGTAATTATAAAATTACGGCGCTACATAGAGTTGAAATTTCGCATGACGTCACGTTATGGTACGTTTTCTACTCAGCTGTGACGTAGCGAGCCCCCACTCCTCAACTTTAATGCCTGTTATCTAAGCTATTTCTTGTTAAATTGAAATAAAAAAAATATACGTATCTAATATTTTTCTATTATCTGACTGACGGACTAAATAGAATTGCATTTTTTTTATCCAGTCATCATCCCTATTCACGTCATTCAGTGAAGAAAGTCTATTGATTCCATTTTTTTGTATAAAAATATAATAACCAAATTGATTATACGTGTCTCAGATATTATATCTCTATGTAATTTCGGAACTCAATTCACTTATGCCACGATATGTTATTAATAATTCAAGATTGAAAGGTATTAGCAACTCGATTGAATTCGACAAAATAGCTGTTGTCTGAAGAACAACAGTTAAATAGGCAAATTGTTTGCACAATAAACTTATATCTAAGTAACAATTTAAAGCAATATTATTGCTTACTATACTATTTTTGTATAGATTTGGGACTTGAGGCTACTAAGAGAACAGTTAAACAGGTCTATATCAGAGAATTCACAATTGTACATACTTAAACAACGCCAAAAATAATTATTTGCAGTATATAATTTGCGAAAACGAGGCGGTACAAATACTTTCATACAACGTGAGGAGCGTACGGGTAACCGAGCCTTAGTTATAAAATTAATTTTCGATAGAAGCGTTGAGGTATCGATAAAAGAACTTAGTATTTTGAAAAGAAATTGAAGATCCAGCTGCTTACGTCGGTTCTGTAAAGTTAATAATTTTTAATGTTTTAAGGATTCGCTGTATATTTTTTCGATAATTCAATATTTTAATTTTTTTTTCTGTACATTTTCTATCCGGATAATGTCTATTTAATAATAAGGGTTCCAAACGACACTTATAGATATATGATAATATTGAATTTCAGGTAGATGGTACAATGGCAGAATGCAAGTAGTTGAGATGGGATTATTGGGGGTAAACATAAGCAAAATTGACATACTGGTTCATGTGCTTAGCTGTGTTATATTTGACTCATTCTATTAACATGTTCCATATTTAATATAAAATAATTTTATATCTACGGCTAGAGTTGTAGCTGGAAGAATAGAAACTGAGATCTGTACGAAACCGATTTGTGCGCCACGAGCTCCAACAGCTCTATTTTTCTTGCATCGAAGCCTCGTTTACTTCATTACTGTTTTTTTTTAGAATGATAGAAAAAATAATATACGCTTTATTTAACATTATATTGGATTTAATACAAAGAAGCAAGACAAGAAAGTAAACAAGGCTGTCTTATTTCTAATCAATAATTTTACCGGGCAATCAATGTTGAAAATAAATAAATAAAGAACTAGAGAGGCAGGGCCAGATTGGCCAAGTAGCAAAAGTAGCAAATGCTACGGGCCCCGCGCAATTAAGAGCCTCGCTATGGTTCACAAACGCAGAATAACGTTAAATAACGCAAGTAATAAAATAAGTCACGCTTCTGACTAGTCATATTTTTAAGTATGAACATAAACTGACAAATAAAACTCAAGTCACAGTCAGATAAGTTGTGTTGCGTTATTCGGGCCCCGCTTTAGCTTAATTTGGCACTGAAGAGGGAGTAAAAGGTGATAGAAATGAATAGATACATTTTATAACATTATTGATAATAAAAAATGGAATATTAGAGGATTTAGAATGTGCAGATTAGTGTATGAAGCGGGCAACAAAGTAACCTAAAGTACAAGCTTTCCTTATTGCTTCTGAAAACAAGTTCAAGTTCACAGACATCGAAATATAACAATACAAAATGAACATTAATAAATCCTTTATAATAAACCAAAGAGTATTCATCACAAAATAAGATTACAGTTACATAAAAACTGACATTCAAAAGCTTATTCATACTTCATGGTATTTTTTGATATGTCAATGAGATTAATGTTATTAAGGTTGCGTTCGGGACGACGGATATGACACATAATAACATATGACTGTCGAAATATCTTCAATTCTTGTAGTGTTGCGTAAATATTAATGATATTTTGTACAAAACAATGTTACTCAATGGTTATATCACAAATGCTCTCAAATATAAGCAGAAAATAAGTTTATAAACAAGTGCCAATTCATAAAAATATATTAATATTTTAACAAGAAGTGTCAACATACGTAATTAGAACCAAATGGACGAGAAAAATATACTATTTAATTCGGTCAGTCAGCATCCCTATTGTTGTTTTTTGTCTCTGTTACATTGCTTACGTTGTTAATGCTTGAGTAGAGTAACTTATTAATAAAAAACAAAAATATTCAATGTCGGTTAAAAAGTCGGCATAAAGCTAGTCGGATTCGCATGCAGAGCGCACAAATGTACAAATATAAAGCCAAAGCCTTCTTATAACTTTATCTGTAATGTATAAATATATAACTATTTCAATAGACTGAATGGTTCTTTTTCAAAATATCAATCCCGTTTCTAAAATAATTGATTGCTGAAAAAGGGCTTCATTCGTCAAATATTAACCCAAATGAAAATAAATATTAACAAAAAAAGGATTCCTAAAATTCAGCATTTGAAAGATAATAAATCTAATACTTAGAATCTTTATCATCAGCCTATAAATGTCCCCATTGAGGCACACACCTGTCATAATGAATAGAAATTCTGGAATCAAATAGAGAGAACCCACCAGTGAGCCCAGGGTGTCCTGGGCCAAACCAGACCAAAGGCCCACTCGTGAATTTGACCAAAGTTAAGCGAATACAAGATAAATAATTTTCATACAATAATAGTACATTTCTGTGGTTTTAGCTATAAACAAATTGCTGTTTTTTGTTACATAAATTTATTTTATACTTATCTTTTATCCTTTTGGTGCAGTTTTTTTTATTATAACCAGTCAGAGTTCAATATTTAAACTTATCCTATATTTTAAATACAAATCTCATTTCAGTGTCTCAGGCCCTTGCTAAAGTTGATTAACCTCCTTGTTGTAGACCTGTTTTAGCAGCAGTTCTGTAGGTAAATTCTGCTAATGTAAGAGTAATTATGGAAAATCAATAGCGCTTCGTTTACAATCCTTTATGAGATATTTCTTGTTAAGGAATCCTTAGTGCACGACTCCAACACGCATTTGGGCGGTATTTAAACGGAATAGCATTGTAGTTCATAGATCAAACTCTTAAACTGCCCTCAGACCATCGTGCAGCATAACATGCTGCCTCGCCTGCATGGCCGTGTTATTGTATTGATAGATACGAATTTGCATGTCATACGTATCAGTAAAACAATAATACGGTCATGCATTACCGCTTAAAATTTATGAGAAGTTTTGATTGTCACAAGTTTCGCGGCTACCCCACAGGTCAGCGTGAAAACGGGGGTCAAGGCGATGTACGCTCGGTTTTTCTATATTTATTTTAAGGCGTTTATTCAGTTTTAACTGAATAATGTATGAGCTCGCTATATGGGTAGGAAAGAAAACCGTGTAACGGATTTTTAATGCAAAAAAAAAAGATTTAAGTGTACTTTCAGGTTAAACATGCAAAAATAAATTTAAAAAATTCTAATTTCGTTATACGGTAATATTTTCAATTACGACAAAAATTGTATTAAAACGAAATATATTTCTATAGATATCTAGTGGTAAATCAATCTTATTTTCTGTAGTTCATTTAATTGAGTTACATTATCTATACATAGTATAATCGGTAAAAAAGTTAATATACAGATTGATCC